GGGGTGGGGCCCTGTGCCCGCCCTGCAGTGGGGGGAGGGTGGGCAGGGATACTCAGGGACAGGGCATCATGGGGGATTCGGCACAAAATTCAGCATTAAAGGTAACCCCTGCCCCCTACTGTGCTTGGCTGTGTGTCATTCCCTGGCTCAGGCCCTGATCCTGGCACATCCCCAGTGGGCCCCCCCTCCCCCCACTTCATGCTCCCTCCCTGGGCCTCTGGATTTCTGAGGTCCAGGGGGTGAAGCCCAGGCCTGTGTCCCCTCCCTGGTCCCCACAAGAACATCACACAAAGAGGTTATGGTCACCAGTGATGTGCTTTACCAGTAAACACATGAGTCAGGGGAAATTACAAGGTGAAGTAGGAGAGAGTAGGCGTAGGGACAGTACCCCTAGGCTGGCCTCAGCCAATGACATCCCTCGGCCCCGTGCCACTGTCTTCCCGTTGGAGGTTGCACCGATTCATCTTCAGCTGAGTCAACTGGATGTAGCGTAGGACATTGGTGTCTGCAGGGGAGGTGAGCAGAGCATTATTTGGGTATCCTGGGGCAGCAGGTGACATCCGCACCACCTTGGCTCACACCTCATTGTCCCCAGCCTTCAGTGGCTCCCCCGCACAGCCGATATTGCCAGAGCCCTTCTCCAAAAGCCCCAGCCCCAACAAACAGTGGGTGTCACACCTCCAGACTTTTTCATTTGCTATGCCAGCTGCCAGGAATGACTCTGCTCAGAGATTCCTGTCACACTTCTACTCATCCTCCAGTGACATCTGCAAGATGCCTGTTCTCTCCAAAGCACTTATCAGGAAAACCCATCTTGCCTTCACTCCCACAGCCCCAGGTCATTTACCGGTTGTGCTCCCTCTTCAAATACAAAACTGCATATTGTGTCTGCGCGTGCACGCACACACGCGCGCGCACACACACACACACACACACACACACACACACCCTGACTGTGATCTCCCAGAGGACAAGGAACGCGCCTCCAGCTCTGCCAACCCCACCAAATTCCTGGCATTGCCCACCCTGGGGTCTGTCTCCCAGCAAGAGCTTTACGAGTGCTGGCTGGGAGAACAGGTGAATGAGTAGGTGAGGGTAGGAATGGGTTAGTGAGTAAATGAATGAGAGGGGGGATGGCGATGAGGGGGAGAATGGATAGGGAAGACGCTGTGGGCGGTCAGGATGAGTAGATGGAAGATGGTTGGGTAAATATCACGGGAGGATGGGTGAGTGGACATCTGAATGGCGGGTGAATGATGGCGGATGAGTGGGTGTGTAAGGAGTAGGTGGGTGATACAGCACTCCCTTGAAGTAGCTCTGTCCTGACCCTTCTGCCCTTGTTTCCTCTGCTCCAGCCCCTCTTCCCGCTCCGCCCCGCCCCGCCCCGCCCCTCCCCTCACCTGTGGGCTCTCGGCTGCGGGCCTCCTGCAGGTAGCGCATTGCACGTGCATAATCACCCAGGTGGTAGAAGGCAATGCCGGCGCGGTATGTAGCCTTGAAGTTGCCCTGCTGCTTCTCCAGCACCTTGAGGCAGTACTCACGCACCCGCTCATAGTTCACCAGCTCCGACTGTAGCAGGCAGGCTGCAGGGCACCGGGACCGGTGCTCTCAGCGCCTGCCCGCACCCCCACACCTCACCTGACCGCGACGAGCCTTGCCTTAGGCTACGGGGAACCCCCACCCTTTCCCATGGCTGGGCGGGGCCTGCCAGGCTACCAGGGGCCGCTGAGCTTCTAAATCAGAATAGAATCAATCTGCGCCGCCGCTAGAGGGCGCGAAAAACACAGACACGCGCTCTCGGTGGATTTCCATGAAGGGAGTACTACTAAGGGCGATCTCAGGTGAGGGATGGGGCCTTGCATGGCTCATCCAGGGTGAGCTTTTTCTCGCCTGAGATTCGCGTAGGGCAGCGCAAAGCCCATTTCCTGCACCCCAGCTCCTTCCATCCCTGTTGTTCCCTACACCCCCAACCCCTCTCCTTGATAAGTTCTGAGGTATCCCCCCACAGACCTCAGCCCTGGCACCTTCAAGCCTCCGGTACCTCCGCCCAAAGCTTCATGATTCCCCCTCACTCCCCACCCCTGTCACCTATGCACCCTCTGCGCCCCCGACGGCCGCGTACCCGTGAGAGAGTCATAACATTCCACCTCCGTGTTCTCCACCAGGCGCCGCTGCTCCTCGCTGAGGCGAGCCGGCCCTGGGCTGGTGGCGGGCCCCGGGGTGGGGGCCGACAGGCCACCAGAGCGGGACCCCTGCGCCGCCTTCAGCTGCAGCAGTGCCCGATGATACTTGCCGATGGCTTCCCGGAACTTCTTCTCTCGGTAGCAGCGCTGGCCCTCCGCCTTGAACGCCACGGCGGCCCGCAGGCTGCTGTCGAGCGCCGCGCCCAGGCCCCCCGACGGCTCTGGGGCAGGACCGGGCCGAGACGAGCCATGACGAGGGCCGGGGCCCGGCGGGGAGAGGGCGGGAGGCGGGCGCGGCGGAGGCTCCGGGGCAGCGCTGAGCATCAGCACCGGGGACAGCGCGCCGCGCTGCATTGTGGGAAACTCCTGCGGCCGCCGCTGCAGCTACCGCATCGCCCCCCGTGGGGCCGGTTCCCACCCTTTCTCCGCCCCCGCACCTCCGGCAGCCGACTCCGGCTGCCCCCTATGGGTCTAAAGAAACCCCTCAAGACTTCCCCACTCCCTTTCAAATCAGCCCCAGTCCTCTTTCTCTTGCCTGCTTCTCCCTCCTTCCCACTCCACTTACTCTCCCCACCTTCCTGCCTGCTCTCCTCCCCCATGCCCAAAGCTCCCTAAGATTTCTGGAAGAAAAGGACAAGTCTGGGGGAAAGAGCAAAAAGATATCAACCTCGCGAAAAGCTGGTTTTCAGCCCACTCGGCTTTGGGCATGTTGGATAAGGACACAGGCTATGGACTCAAGCTGCCCAGATTCAATTCCCTGATTATTTTCTCACTAGTTGTATGACTTGGGCAAGCCACCTAAATCACCTGGAATCCCATAGTCTCATCATTAACATAGGACAATGATAGCAACTTTGAAACTTATTGGTGTATCTATGCAACAAACAAATATTCACTGACATCTTTTCTGTGCCCAGGTCTGGGCTGGGTGCTGCTGGGACTCCGCAAGGAGTGAGAGAGCCTCAGACCCTAACCTCACTGGACTCCTAGTCCACTGGGGGAGACAGAGCAGTGGCCAGTGACAGCCCAGAGTGGGCTAGCAGGACAAGCTCAGGCAAAGTGGTCGGGGCAGGATGGGGAGGCACAGGCAGAGGGATCAAGCCCAGGATGGAAGATGCACAACAGGCTCTGAGGGCCCAAAGGAGGCACTTGCTCTAGACTGAGGTGGCAAGTGAAGGTTTTCTGAAGGGGAGGATAACCCTATGAACAAGAGAGATCTGCTTCTTGCCCTCATCAAGTTCGGTGTCTGGGTAGGAAAAAACAGTGGGGAAGCAGGTAAGTGACAGCCCAGGGTGAGCAGCACAATCAAAAAAGACTACAGAACAGGGAACATGTGGGAGGCTTTTGAGAGAAAAACTGAAGCTGAAAGAGGTAGTTGTCCTTCAACTCTCCTTGGCCACGTACTTAGCCGTGGAACCTTGGCCAAGCTCCTTGATCTGCCTTACCTTGCCTTCCTTTTGTGTAACCTAGGGACAACAACCAAGCTTACTTTACAGTAGTTGTAGGGACTGAATTATATTATGCAGATAAAGCACTTAGCACAGGGCCTGGTACAGCAATGGGCAATTAACAATCCATGTTTCTTATCATCTGTGAGACTGTGAGATAGGTAATCATAAGTGCCTGGCACTGGGTCAGCACCCATATATAATTGTTGAGTGAATGAATGAATAACTTTATGTATTGCCACTTCCCCATCCCCACAAGACCCTAGTTTGGCTCTCAGCCCCAAGTACCAAGCTTGTATTTCCACTCTCCCCTCCCCTTCCCACCACACATCCTCTCCCTGGCAGGTCCTATCCAACATACCCAAACCTGCCCTTCCAACTCATCAGCAGCATCTGCTTCTATCTCTTACTGTCCTTTGCTGAGTGAGTCTCTCCCCACCCCTGGTCCTCCAACCTTGAATATCTCAGGGGTCGAACTTCCTCCTATCAGCACATCCAAACCCTGACTTGGTTAGGAGTCTAATAGTCCTGAAGTTGAATTCCAGAGCAGTGAGCTCACCTTTCTGCACCTCAGGTATATTTTTGTTTTAATTAAAAACATGGAGATCCACGGATTCATAACAAATAATTTCTGAGCACTTACTAAGTGGCTAGGTGCTACAGGCTTGGTAGAAACAGGGGACCATTGTCTTTAACTCACAGCCCTGATAGGATGCAACGCTAGCACTTTCACACACCTTCTAGGTATCAGGCAATGTCCTAAAGCCTTACGAGTATGTTAACTTAACCTTATCACATCTCGATGAGGTTAAGTAAATCGGATCCCATTTGCCAAATGCTTGCTATCAAAGACCTGTACTATCACAAACTGATGACCCTCGCAGTCCAGCGTATGTGATGTGTTGGGCTTATGCAAACATTAAAAAATATTCAATTAGTTTCCAACATATTGAAGCAATTTATGGCATTGCATATTTTCAGCCTCACTTGAACAAAATCTGAAAATCCGGCAACGTCGAGGGCTACTAGCGTTCATGACGGGGCGGGGTGGGGGAGCATTCTCAGATTTCCACAGTCCCCATATCTCCTAAATTCTCCCTAACCCTGAGACTGAGGGCCATTCAGCTTGCGTTGCGATTTTCATCTCAGCATCCCTGTCCATCTAGCTTCCGCAAGGGTTTGCGCTTGGGATCCCCAGCTTGATCCCGCGGAGCTGCGCTTGCGGAAGCCCGCTAGTGCCCCCTCGCGGAGAGTCCGGAATTCGCAGCCATTAAGGGACTTGGTGAGGACATTCAGAGACGCCCAGGAAGTAGTGACCAATCAAAAGCGAGAGAAGGGCCGGAATCTGACCAATTAGGACAGAGAGCGCTCGGAATAAAAGAAACTCTTTTATTGAAGTGGGAGACGGACACACACGAAGTCTTTTTTGATAGGGATTCAGGGAGGCCCAGGCTGGGGGCGGCGGAGCAGGCGGGCGGCGGTGAGGCTGGTGCCTTGGCACTGAGGCCGCGCGTACTTGAGGAAGATGGCAGCTCGGCCGGGCGCGGGGCCTCTGAGTGCTGCGCGAGCCATGCACGGCTCCAGCGGGCTCAATTCCGCGGGGCTGCAGCGAGGAGACGGAGATACTGAGGCGGACGCAGGGGGTAGCGATGAAGACGACCTGTCCTTGGAGCAGGGGGCTCAAGGCCGAGAAGACACGTTGACTTGGGTCCCCCGGGACTGTCCAGGGGCTATCTCGCGGCCCACTATCTAGAGAGTGACTAGAGGGAGCCGAGGAAAGGCAAACCTCCATTCTCCCCGCAGGGCGCGGCTAGAGAGGGCCAGGGCCCTCGGGGAGGGAAGGCGTGGGGCTGAGGACGGGCAGGCATCCAGTTCTACCCTGGAGGCACGGCTGGGAACAAAGACGATTCACTCTGACCCTTGGTGGCTTGGTTAACAGGAAGATGGGAGCTCTAGCAGCTAAAAGGGCACCCCATTCCCGGCTAGACAGGAGCTGCAGAACTTGAGGCTGGCAGACCTCTCATTCTCAACCCTGGAACACAGCATCTTCCAGGTCTGGGGAGAGCCTATCTTCCATCCGGGTCATGGGTAAGGGTCCCCAAATCTAGACGAACAATCCATTCATTCTCCCAGACACGCCCAGAGAAAAGCAAACGGGATTGCCCCCAGGCTAAGCAAACACCCCATTCTCTCTTACACCCAGAAAAATTAAGTCTAGGTGTCGTCTCTCCCATCCCCATAATTGTCTCATTCTCTGAGACGGTAAAGACAGCGAACAGGAAGGCAGACCCCTGAAGCCTCGGCCTCTCTGGAGGTCTGAGAGACCCTCCGCGGTGGTCGTACCTGTAAAGCGCCGGCTCCGGCCCGGATCCCGCACCGTTGAGCACGCGGTGCGCCAGGCTCAGTGCCGCTGCTGCGCGGCGACCCGGCTCCCACCGAGCGGCCTCGGCCTCCAGCAGAGACAGCTCCAGGAAGTAGGTGGCAAGTAGCATCACCTGCCAAAGCCACACGAAGACTATCAGGCCACGCCCCTACCCCGCATAGGCCACGCCCCTAGCCGCAAAAGCCGTAACCCTGTCTGGCGCACCTGGGGGCTGCTCCGGGCCACCGCGGCAAGTAGGCCGAGGCAGAGGAGTGGACCTGGATGGTACAGCCGGAAATCCAAACGGCTCAAGATGCGGCGCTCGGCCCGCAGAAGCTCGGCCTGTGAGAAGGAGCCAGCGCCCAGGAGGCAGAGGGAGGCGGGCTGCGGGTTGGGGGGGAAAGAGGTGTTACTCCTTGCCCTGGAACGCTCTGTTGTCTCCTTTCTGGTTCTCAGTTTCCTGGTCTGTAAAATGGGGCTATTGATTTGTTGTCTGGAAGTCGTGGAGAACACAGTCTTCAGAGTCAGAAAGACATGGGTTCGAGTTCAAACCCTACCGTTTATGCACTGTGTGACATGGACATCACGGAAGCCCTCTGAGACTGTTTCCTCATCTGTAAAACGGAGATAACTGCTCCTACTTCACCAGGCAGTTCTGATAAAGCACGGAGTTTACGCATGTTAACTGTAACTTCTCAAGGACTGTTAACTACTGTAACTATTCAAGACTGAGTCCAAGGCCCAACTTTTGACTTTGGAAATGTCTTCCCTCTCTCGGTCTCCTCCTCTGTTAAAGACACACATTGGTAGCCCCAACCTCACACAGATCTGCTGGGATTCCAAGAGGACATAAAGCACTCGCTGGGCACAGTGCTTGGCACAGTAAGCGTTTCATCTGTGACAGGGGCGCGTAGGAAGAGCTTCACCCTCCCATCCCTACCCCGAAAGTACCTCGGGGAGCACGCACTCTTCCATTTTGCATGCCACGAACAGGCAGGCTACGCCCAGCAGCTGCAGGCGGTGTAGGCGCACTCGGCCCGCGCGCAGGTAGGAATCGAGCAGGTGCACGGCCAGGTACAGCGTGTCCCCTGCCAGGCCCAGGTACTCCTGGAGAGGAGCGCGGGTGACCACCAGGCTGCGACGCAGTCCCAGGCCCACCCCTCCGCGGGTACGTACGTGCACCTGGACCAGCCAGTCCACCACTAGCGCACGCATCTTCGGGGTCACGGTGCGAGGCAGGGCCCTCCGGAGCAGCGCGCGGCACACCTGGGGTTGGGCAGGGAAGGCCTCACTCTCTACACCTGTGTCTTGGCTTCTCTTCTGAGCTCCAGCCCGGGTGCCACAGCCTCCTTACACCAGCTTGACATGGCATGAATGCCACACCCAAACTGGTTTCCAGCGTCTCCTCCAGATATGTTCCTCTTCCCTGTCGCCATCTTGAAAACCCTGGTCTTTCTTCTGGTCGCCTCCATATCCACCTCTCCAGTCTGCAGCCCCCACAGCCATGAACTCCAGAGCACCTCCCCCTGGGTTCCCAGTCTCTACTCTTGGGCACCAATCCTCAACCCATCCTCCTCAGAGCCCTCAGAAGGGTCTTTCTAAAGTACAAACTTCACCAAGGAACTCCCTAGCTTAAAACCCTCCCATGGCTTCCAGTACCCTCAGGAGAAAATCCTAATTCCTCTCAGACTGTCTCAGGCCCTGCCCCTGCTCCAACATCATCTCTTCCCTCAGTGCCTTCACAACCCACACTCCAGCTACACCAGCCTTTTTTTTGGCACCAGGCTATGCCAAGCTCATTCCTACCTCAGGGCCTTTGCACGTACAACATAATGTTCCCTCCACCTGAAATGGTTCTTTCCCAGCTCCTTGCATTGCTGACTCCTCAGTCATTCAAGTCTCAGCTAAAACTCCCCTGACTTTTTCTATACTCCTCCCTATTTCATCATTTTATTTCCCTCATAGTAGTTTCAGTCTGGAGATAGCCAGCATTTCCTTGTGTATTTTGTCTGCTTGCCTCCTCTGGGCTGCTGGAACACAAGGGCAGGGATTTCTGCCAGATCCCAGCTATACCTGGGTTCCTAACAGAGACCCTCACCCAGGAGAGATGCTCACAAGATGTTTGTTAGATAAATTCATCCCTTCACTGTTTCTTCTGACAGTGCCTGTCTCAGATGCCTGTGTTTTGGTCTTTGTGGCCCTTCTGAAATTATCACCTGCATTTGTTTTCTTGCCTCCTCACAATGAGGACAGACTGTATCTGTTCATAGCAGCATTTCACAGTGCCTAGAACATGCTCAAAAACACTTGTTAATAGATCGCTAAATGTTTGTTAATCCAATATATATGTGGCAAGTACGAGGGGCTCTGAAATACCAAAGGAGGGGCTGCAGACAGTCCGGGGAGGATGAGAAAGGACATTGCGGGTTAACTGTGGGGTGGGAGAGAGTAATTAAGCCACGAACTTGGGGCGGGACTGGGAAGTCGGCGGGAAGGATGAGACTGAGGCTGGCCGGGAAGTTCTGGCCTTGGCTAACCCACCCCACTCTGCTACCCTCCGGGCATAGGGCGGCCCGCCGTCCAGGGGGTCCCACTCGGCCCCCTCACCAAGACCTCGGCGAAGATGTCCCCAGCGTACTCGCGTTCTCCCTGCAGCCCCAGCGCGCTCAGCGCCTCCTCCAGCCCCGGCGGCGCGCACGATCGCGGGAGTCTGTCTGAGAGTCCTGGGGAAACGCTCGTGCCCGCAGGGACACCGTCGGAGGCAGGGGTGCTCGGGGACTCTGGGTGGAGGGAAGCAGCAGGACTCTGCAAGGGAGAGGGGCTTGTATCAGTGCCTGGAGGGAGGTCCAAGCCGGGAGGTGGGACGCTGGCTTCTGCATCTCACCAGCATCCTCCAGGCTGGCGTTGGGGGCAAAACCGAGCCCCCACCTCTTCCTGCTGGAGCGAGGACCTGCGGCGGGCGCTTTAAATGCGCCTGGGCTCATGCGCGTTGAGCACGCCTCATCAGGGCAGGTGTGTCGGCAATAGAAGATGCTACAGAGGCTGGCTCTGCCCCTCCAAGCCCCGTAACTATCAGGCAGCTGGAGTCAAGCCCTTGTCCTGTTACTACATGACCAGAAGCAGCTTCTCGGAGCCTTATGTTCCTCAGTTATGAAGTAGGGTTTATTTCAAAACCCAGCCAACAAAGTTGTCCTGAGGATTTTATAAGAGAGTCTTTGTTAAGTAGCCAGCACAGGGCTTAATACAGTCAAAGCCCAAGACATGGGAGCTATAAGACACTTCATAAATAATATTTAAGGAAGGCCCGTGTGTTCCCTGCAGCGGGAGTTCCGGGGGGGGGGGGTGAACAACTCACCTGTGGCCGCTGCCTTTTATCAAGCCCGTGGCCCAGAGCTGGTAATGGGGACAGGTCACCAGCGATCAGTGTGAACTAGTGCAGCAGCCTCCTCACTGCTCTCCCTATTCCCATCCCCTACAGTCTGTTCCCTGCATGTAGCCAGAAGGGATCCTGTGCACACCTAATTAAGTCAGATGGCACTCAGCCTCTGCTCAGAACGCCATCATGGCTCCCACCTCCCTCAAGGTGAAAGTCCAGGAGGGCCTATATTATCTTCCCACCCCCCACCCCACACACACACCTGTGAGCTCATCTCCTATCCTTATCTCCCTCACTCCTTCCTCTCCCACCTCACCAGCCTCCTGACTCATCCTCACCCACACCAGGCACACTCCTACCTCAGGGCCTTTGCACTGGCTGTTTTCTCTGCCTGAAATGTTCTTGCTTCCTTTGTTTACTCAGATGTTACCTTCTCCATGAAAAGTGTCATCCTGAGCACTTTCTGCCCCATGCCCTGTAATTTTTCTCTCCTTAGCACTTACTGCCTTATTGTCTCCCTCCTGACCTCATGAGGGATGGGCTTGTCTGGTTTTTCAATGCTGTATTCCCAGTGCCTAGAATAGGACTGGGCACATAGTAGATGCTCAATAAATATGTTGAATGAATGAGTGAACAGGCTGGCTGTAATTTAGAGGTAGTGGTCTGGAAGGACCTCTCTGAGAAGGTGACATTGGAGCTGAAGCCTGAAAGAGAAGGAGCCAGGAACGCAAAGAGAGGGGAGGATATTCTAGGTGGAGAGGACAGCCTGCGCCAAGGCCCTGAGGTAGGAAAGAGCTTGCTATTTTCAGGCATTGAGAAGTCAGTGAGGCTGGAAAAATGAGCAGAGAGAAAAGTGTGAGATGCAGGACCAACGGCTTCCTATCACACAATAAAACCAAACTCCTTACCTTGGCCACTAGGTCCCTTTGTCCCATTGTTACCTCTCTAACCTCATTTCATTCTGCTCTCCCCCTCCCTCATTCCACTTGAGACACTATGTCCTTTTTATGTTCCCCGCACACATCAGGCACCTGCCAGCCTCAGGACCTTTGTACTTGCTGTTCCTTTCACCAGACCGCTTGAGAATCCAGATATTTACATTATCCAAGTATTTCTACACAAGATACTACTGGGTTGTCAGAAAAGTTATGATGCATTTTTGCAGCGAAAAACAGAAAAAATACGTCAACTTTTCCGACAACCCAATAACTACAAAGAAAATGTAACTTTACAGTGGAGAAGCCTGACAGACACCACCTTAACCAAGGGATGTCACCTCCTGATAGGCTGCACTGAGAAGGGCACATCATTTCTGGGAATTCTTGCCAAAAATAGCTTGAATATAACCATGAGCAAACATGAGGCAGGAACCCCTAATGGAGGGACATTCTGCAAAATAACTGCCCTCCCTGTAAGCTTCAAACCTGACAACTGAATGCAACATGTGTCTGGACTGAGTCACTAGCCACGAAATTTTTTTATTTTGTACACAAGGACATTAGTGTGACCACTAGTAAATCTGATTAGGTCTGAGTAGAGTGTTGTTTCATTGTTAGCTTTCTGACCTTTGATCATTGGACTGTGGTTATGTAAGAGAATGTTCTTGTTATAGGACAGATATACACACATGGAGGGAGGGGAGGGAGTAAAACATCCTGGAGAACCTGTGTGAAGGAGAGATGACAATTCTTGTGTTTTTAAATAAAAAAAAACTTTGAGAGCTTTATGAGAAGTTGCAAAAATAGAGTTCCATATACCCCACACCCCTGAACCAATAGGTTTCCCCTACCACCACCACCTCACGTTAGTGTGATTTGTCACAATTGAATGAACCAACAGGGATATGTTATTATTCAACTCCATGCTTTAATCAGATTTCCTGCCTCTTTGTACCTAATGTCCGTCTCTGTTCCAGGATCCTATTCAGGATGCATTACACTTTCTTCATGTCTCTTAAGGCTTTACTTGGTTGTGAGTTTCTCAGGCTTTTCTTGTTTTGAACCTTGAGTTTTGAGAACCAGTGGTCAGGTATTTTGTAGGACGTCCCTCAGTTGGGATTTGCCTGGTGTCTGTTTTTTTTCTTAGACTTGGGGAATCCATTTTGATGACGACAACCACAGAGGTAGAGTACCATTCTAACCACACCTTTATCAGATCTATACTGCCAACATGACTCATCACTGTTAATACTGACCCTGATCACCAGCTGATGTACTATTTGTCAAGCTTTCCCCCCTTTCTATACTGTCCTCTTTGGAAGAAAATCACTTTGCAGCCTTCACCTCAGGAGTGGGGGTTCTGTTTCCCCTCCTTGAAGGCAGTTATCTACAAAATTATCTGGAATCCATCACAGGTGTCTGTTCTCACCATTTACCATGTATGGGCTCAGTAGGGGCTCATTTGTTTTATACTTTGTTATAACCTAATACTATGCTATTTATTGGAGTGCTCAAATTGCATTCAGCTTTGGCCACTGGGAGCTCTTCCCACTGACTCGTGTGTCCCTTTACATTCCATCAGGGAGGTTTTCGTTACTTAGCAGGTCCTTACTTCCAGGCACTCCAGTCCTAGAAGCATTTTAGCACAACTGTTGAAAGTTTCAAAGTTTTCTACCAATCTTCAATTATTTCAAAATCAGAGTTAAAAATATGTAAATCACTACACTTGTTTGGATAGCTATCTGACACATATTAAAATGCAGCCACCCTGGAATGGAGGCCACAAAAATAAAAGCACGAATTGGTAAGGATGGATTGTTAACGTTTGCTGGTAGCAGCAAGAAAACCCACCCCAAACTGGGAACCAAGTAAATTCTCGTCAACAGGGGGCAGCTGAATCAGTTGAGGTGCATCCATCCTGAGGAACATAAGTGAAGCAACTGCGTCCCCAAAACGCAGTAGTGGCTAAAAGAGGATCTCATTTTGATCAATGACCCAACACACCCTATGAATGGTAGCAGTGTGGGTAAGAAAGACATGGCAGGATGTAGCCCAGGGACTTGGCATGATTAACTGGGAGGAAAGAGTTATGCAAAAAAAGGGAACAGCCTTTTTATGACGCCACATGCATTTACACAGAATAACATGAGCACCAAAATCAGCACTCGAGGCCTGGGATCTGGGTGATTTTTCCTTTCTTCGGTGTACTTTTGTTTTGCTTGCCTTATTCTTCACACACACACACACACACACACACACACACACACACACACACACACACACAAAATGTGACATTTTCCATATGCATGTGACAAAAGACAGGTTACTCAAAATTTCATTTTTCTAATTGGTAAAATTTTATTATTAAAACACTTCCATCTAAAACTCCCTCTTTGGGAAAAGTTCTACAGAAATAACAAGTACCACTGTCACTGGCTGGCCGAGTGGCGCGTTGGTTAACAGCTGGCTTGGGATGCCTGAGGGCCCCGGTTCGGATCCCACATATGAGGGCCAGTGACACTGCCCTCCACAGCTAAGATGCTGAACAACAGCTCAACCTGGAGCTGGGCTGCCATGAGTCACTGGTGACGGCATAGGCTGCAACCCCTACTAGAGTGGGTCGCCATTGGCTACCATGTGTAGCCAGCAGCCAGCGTGAGCAGCCAGCAGCCGCTGTGAGCGGCCATCCAGAAGCCGGCGACTGATCTGCCTCGCCCAGGAAAAGCGCAATGATGGTGCCAACTTGGGCCAGTGAAGCAACGTCCTCCACAACTAGACTGAAGAACAAAAGGACAGCAACTTGTCTGTTCCCTTCCCCCAATTCCCCAGCGCTGTTCCCATCCCCCAATTCCCCAATAAAAATCATAAAAAAAAAAGAAGTACCACTGCATCTAAGGACATGCGTTGAACAGAGGGACCCAATTGAGTAACCTGCAGGAACCCATCCATGGAATGTGACATAAGTGCTACCAAGCTGAGATACCCAGGGACAGACCCACATGGGAGAGCTGAGTGACAGTGCGATGTGAAAAGAAACTCAAGCATGGTCACCCCTGTCACCTCAGGGGGCTGCGTCTAGAGGGGAAAGTAAAAGGTTTCTCTTTATAAGCCTCTCTGGTTTATCTTATGACCACCAGGACATACTATTATAATTAAATAATAAAGTCCATATAAAGTTGGGGGGGGGGATTCCTTGAGTCTTGGTTGCAGCTAATGCAGATTTCTATAAACTGCATTCACCTTTTCTGCTATCCTCACTTAAAATCTCAAAGACTCCACATGTGTGAAGCCCTAACAGCAACTGGCAAAATCAGACATTCAATTCACTTGTGCTCAGCACGGCAGCCCTGGTCCTGGGGTCTGGGAGGGGTGATTCAAGCATGGGAATGCCATGATCAAGGGGACAGCTTTCAGAGGATTCCCAGAGCTGTGAGAGCTGTGAGGGCTGTGACCCAACCTGAGGTGCTCCCAGCTGACAGCCACCACAAACGCCAGTGACACACCAAGGAATCTGTATTAGAATCAGAGGCCTCAAGGCTCCCTAATTTCGTATAAACTGGATGGGGACGCATACACCATGCCCCGCTCTAGGGCTCAGGTGCCAAGGGAAATGAATGCGCTCCCTCTCCCACTCAGGGCTCACAGACACCTCGCATCACCTCCTTGTTCAGAGCCACCCAACCCTCCCACCCCTGGCATTCCACCCCCACCTCGCTGTGCCTAAGCAGCTTCTGAGGGTCTCAGATGGTCTCTGTTCACCGTACCCCCACCCCAGGCCTGGGGAGCCCTCCCAAACTCCTCAGCAGCTTTCACCCCCAGCAGCCCCCTCCCTCTCCAGCCTGAGCTTGACAACACCCCCACCCCAGATGCCTCCTCCACCAGCTTCCACAGGCTCGACAGGCCCCTACCTAATGCAGCAATGGAAGCAGGAGGCAGCTGGTGCCAGGGGCTGGCTGTAAGCAAGGAAAGGCCCAGGGTGGTGAGCCCCAATCTTAAACGAGGGTCTTTATTGCTTGTACCGTACAAATAGGAGGAACGGGAAAAGGCCATTGGGGAGGAAGAATTGTCAGATAAATGACATACACAAAAAGGAAAAGAGACCCCCCCCACTCCCCCAAACCAACCCCCACCCCACCCCAGCATGTCTCTCTGTGAACTACTTAGTACAGGAGGTGGGGTGGGGAGATCAAACCCACAAAAACTACATTCCAAACACCCGGAGATGTTGGTGGGAAGGGGGAGGGGCAGGGCAGCAAGTGGACCTCAAGTGTGGCTCCCCTGCTAGGCCAGCACCCCTCCCCTGGGATGAAATAAATGCTCGGGCCAGGGACAGGGGCCGAGCCCACACATACCATGCACACTCGAGGCCGGGACACGCTTGCCCTCACATACATACACCCTGTGTGTATCTGTGTCCCAGATGCACAGGGACACCCACACACAGTTCAAGGCACACACACAAGTGCCCAGAGCACTGACACACGTTCATCTTAAGGCTGCAGAACGTGGGGCTGGGAGAGGGGGAGGGGGGAGGTGGCCTGGAGCCTTACTTCTCAGAGGCCCCCACCCCAGTAAGTACCAGAGACACCTACCCCCGCCTCCTCCTCGACCCAAGTCCACGGGGCCCAATACTGTCTCGGTGCGAGATGTGTAACAGCCGAGGCTGGCGCCTCTCCACCCCAGGCAGAGAGAAGGGGCTATCCCGGCCCCCATCCTTGGAGGGGCCGGGGCCAGGCCCGGGGTCCAGCGGGAGGTAAGGCCAGCTGGAAGGAAGCCCTAGGGAGGAAGCCTGGTAAGGCACGGGGCTGGGGGGTGGGGAGGCTAGGCCCCAAATTTTCCTCCTGCCTCTTCCACAGGGTCAGGAGAGCAGCGTGGGGCGAGGGGAGGCAGCACCCATCCCCAGGGCCCCTCCAGGTTCCCCACAGGGTAACTGGGCCCCAGCCACACGAGGGAGCCCTAGACCTCCACTCCTGCAGTTCCCAAAGGCCCTGCCTATCTTTACACATTATTGCTTTTCTACCTCCATGGGGGGACAGGGCCGGACTGTCCCTTCGCCAGGCCACTCAGAGTCTAACGACAGGCATAGAAGGCAGCCCCAGAGCACTGTCCACCAGGCAGCGCACAAGAAGGCAGCTTCCGAGGGCAGCAGCGCAGAGGCAGGCTGCCTGTGGACGCCTGGCCGGAAACTCAGGCAGGCTCCCACTCTACCTTCCCTCCTCACTGGGGCTTGTGTTGATGAAAAACTGGAATCTCCCCAATTGCCCAAAAGCCTGGTCCTGGGACAGGCAGAGTAGTCTCCCCAGTCCTGGTCTGGGCACAAAGGTGAGAGCAGGACAGGATCCTGGAGGCAGGGCCACTGGGTCCGCTGAGGGGATTTTGGCAGAGGGCTGAAGAAAAAACTGGAAATTGGATTTGAGGGGGTGAGGGATGGAGATGCAAACAAAAAAGGCAAAATAAAAAGTTTTTTTAAAAAAAGGACAAAGCCCTCCGGCAGTGATGGCAGCCTTGTGAGTGTCCCATGGCGGCGTCAGCGGCAGGCAGGCAGCGCTGCTCACTCGCGGATGCTGGCCGAGTAGGAGAACTGGGGGAAGTGGGTCGGCTGGTCCATGTCGAGCGAGCCCAGGCTGTCATCTGCAGGGATCAGTGGAGGTGGATTGGGGAGAACCAGCCTGCAGAGGGCTCTGCCCCCCACCCAGACCCCAAGGGGGAGGGGAAAAGAGGGGAACGAGCCCTAGAAAGGACTGCAGGCAGGCCACAGGATGAACCCCCAGCTGGTGAGGCATCCATGAGACTTGATCCCTAACAGAGGCCCCTTGACCACAGTCCCCCCGCCTCCTCCTCAGGTCAGAACCCTGGCCCCCAGGACTCAGAGCGGCTCGCTCAGCCTCCTGAACAGCCGCCAGCTTCTCTGCTCGTCTCCTCCTCACCTACACCTCAGCCCACCCGGGGCGGTCCACTGCAGTCCACCCAGACCTCTCCAGCTCAGCTCCTGCCCCCAACAATCCTCCCTCCACATGCAGGAGGTGTCTTTTTAAGGCTCTGATGCAACCCTGTCCCTCCTCTGCACAAAACCCTTCCACAGCTCTGCATGCAAGTCCCCACTTCTCCCAGTGGCTCCAAGAGGCGCCTGCTCTGGCCCCCATGCCCTCTCCCCTCCCCTGCCTCATCTACTTGGACCTTTGCAATGCTCCCATTTCTAGCAGTCCCGTACACTATTCCTTCTACCAGGAACATGTCTCAGCTGCCCTGTCTCCTCCTCCAGGAAGCCCTCCCTTGACCCACAGGCCATGTCAGGCAGTTGCTCTGGGCTTCCCCAGTCTGTGCTCCTATACCCTAGTTCTGACCATTCTGGGCTGTCACCCCACCTGGACTGGGAACTCCCTAAGGGCAGGGCCCAGGGCCTGTCTCCATCACTGCTGTGTCTCCAGCATAGCCCAGCACTGGGTGGGTGAGTAAGAACTCAAATAGCTAGAGTCAATGAGCCAATCCAGCCCAAAGACCTGGGTGATTTGGGAAGATGACTATGGATCTGCCATCTCAGCACCGACAGCTTCCCCAAGCATCTCCTGCCCTGACCTCTGGAATATGCTATAGCAATGGCTCTTGGTGACCTCACTGGGTCTGCAAGTGACCAAGCCCTGTGAGCTTGCTCCTGGAGATCTGGGTCAGGGGCAGAACCCCCACCAGGCCCACCAGGTTTGGGACCTCAAGACACTCACAGCGGTCCGGGGGCGTGATTGTGATGGACTGGGCGGTGAACTCATCATCGAAGTACCTTGTGTCGACCTCAGATGTGACCTGAGGTTTGAAGGGTGGCAGGAGCTGCGGACAAGAGGAGCCCAGGCTCAGGACCCTGAGGACCGGAGACCTTGGCCAAGGTCACCCACAAGCGGCCAGGCTCCTGGCTGGCAGCAGGCAGGGATGCTCACCTTCTTCTGTACCACGTCCTGCCAGTTGATGCTGAGAAAGAACCTGTGCTCCATGACCTCCTTGGCATCGCTGGGCCCCCCGCCGAGCCTGGGCAGAGACAGCCATGAGCACCTGCCTCCCGGGGCAGCCGTGTTCTAGGGCACGGGCTTCCGGTGCAGGATGGGGCCTGCGACATGCACACCCTAAAACAGCTTTAATGGTCCCCTCCTGGCCACAGACCACCACTTCACAGAGGAGGAAAGTGAGGCAGGGAGGGAGCTCACAAGCCCAGGGTCAAACCCAGGAGACTGCAAGCTAGCCTCTAGTTCAGAATGCAAACTGAGGGCAGATGGCCACCTCACATCCCAGTTCTGCCACATATGACCGGGACACCCTAGGCCAGGCACAGGGCCGCCTTGTTCCTGTGTCCCCATAAAACAAGGCAGTGCAGGCAGAGGACAAAGGACAGGCCTGGCCCCAAGGGAACACTTCCTAAGTGCCAGCTATGGGGACTATCAGAGGCTGTGTGGGGACGACACACACCACATGCCCACAAGCGAGTGTGCCTGTAGACTCTGCCCCTCCGGGCTGAGTGGTCAGTGGCAGCTGGTGGGGCTGGGCAGGGCGTACTCCAGCCCTCACCTTTGCTTGGGGTCCTTCTTAAGCAGCCCGGCAAGAAGGGCCTTGGCCTCAGGGCTGAGTGTGCGCGGGAAGCGGATCTCCTCCATGAGGATGAGCTCGAAGAGGCGCTCGTGGTCCTGGTTGTAGAAGGGCAGGCGGCCGCACATCATCTCATACATGACCACGCCCAGCCCCCACCAGTCCACCGCCCGGCCGTAGTCATTGTCCTCCAGCACCTGACAAGGAGGGGCAGTGAGGGGCCAGGCCCACACCCCAGGGCTTAGGGTGGGGACTCGGCCCTTCCTGGGGCTGGGAAAGGTGACCTAAGGAATCGAACAAGCCTTCAGAGAGTCTGGGTGGAGGAAACACACAGTCCCGGGGCCCCGCCTCCCTCATCCTAACAGGCCCCTGGGACCTCCAGCCCCAGACACCTCAGGTGCCAGGTATTCGGGGGTTCCGCAGAAGGTTCTCATGGTGGCCCCATCACTGATGCCCTCTTTGCACAGGCCAAAGTCTGTGATCTTGATGTGGCCATCTTTGTCCAGCATGAGATTTTCCAGCTGTAGGAAAAGTCACTGTATCAGGGACATGTCCTCCCCGACTTCCCTACCACCCCACTGAAACCCCTCATGCCCAGCCCTGCCCTAGAGGGGGCTGAGGCTCCAGGCTGGGCCACAGGGCGTATCCCCAGCACAGGGTTACGTCCTCACCCTCTGAGGTTTGGGGTGGCCAGACCCAATACCGCCCCAGCCTCTGGCTGCTCCCCAGGGAAGCCGAAGAAAAGCAGGGCAGGAAGGATGGAGCCAGGTCTTCCCCCAACCTGCCTCCCCCACTGTGGGCTGTAGTTTTCCAACTCTGGATATGAGGGACACTGTCTTTCTTCTATTTTTTCCTAAACTTCACACAAATGGGCAATTTAATGGGCCTCTGCGTAACCTTCTCCAGGTCAGGACGGAATATTACTAGCCCCTTAGGCCCACGTGCCCCTTCCCTGTTAGTAACTACCCCCTGCCCTAACAGAGAAGAAACTTTACTTCCTTGCCCTTCTTTGCAGTTTCTCCCACCTACACGTACACGTGTCAACAACACAGATCTGTCCTGTCTGTCCTGGCTTTTCCCCTCAACGTCAGCCTGTGAGCTGCGGCTGTAGTTTGGTCTCTTTAACTGTTGTGCAGTGTCCCAGTGTGTGAACACACCACACGTTTTATCCATTACCTGACAGTGGATACCTGGGTTGTTTCAGTCTGAGGTTAGTGTAAACAGTACTGTTAGGAGTGTGTGTCAACCCACTGAGGTGGACACAGGTACCTGTTCCTGTGGTGGGTACACCTAGGGCACAATGGCTGGCTCACAGGGTACACACATTCAGCACTGCTGGATTCTGCTAAACAATCTTCTCAAGTGCTTGTACCAATTTACAACCTCTGGCTGCACAGGAGAATCTGTCTGCTCACAAGAGGCTTGGAAGGGGCCCCGCACAGGGCTGCCTGCTGTGGAACCACCACCAGGGGCCTGGGCAGGAAGAGTTGGCTTCTCCAGAGGGAGGACACAAGGCTACGGACAACCGACAAGATAGACCCTTCCTGGAGCGGGGAGCTGGGCAGATAGGGCAGAGGGCCTGGGCCCAGCCTCCCCCGTGACATCCTGTGTGTGCCACAGACCAGCCTGGGCCCTTGCCAGGAGACGACCATATGCTTACCTTGATGTCACGGTACACCACGTCCCGTGAATGCAAGTACTCCAGGGCTGAAACGATCTCTGCGCCATAAAAGCGGGCCCGCTCCTCCGTGAAGACACGTTCCCGGGACAGGTGGAAGAACAGCTGCCAGAGGATGGGGGCAGGGGAGGTCAGACCCCTGGCCCAGAGAAGGATGGGACACTGCCTAGTGACAGTGACACCTGCTCCGTGAACCAGCAAGTGACAGCAAGAAGGACCAAGTGAGGGACGGTGAGTAGAAAGGCGCTCACGTGATTAAAAAAAGAAGAGTGAGAGCAAGGGATAAAGAGTGAAGGACAGCAAGCGCCAAGGGGAGAGTAAGGTGGGGACAACATGAAGGGAACAGGGAATGAGGGGGTGGCAGCAAGGAAGCAGAGGAACACTGCTCTGTATCAGAAAGACTGGGGAAAGCAGAGCATGGGTGGCTCTTGACCCGCATACGCTTTCTTTGCAGTGCTGTCATCCAACCACCCTCAGCCCTCTCCACGCCTCTCCACAGCTGGTTTGTATCCTGCCCACCAACTCACTAGCTGTGTGAATTTGGGCAAGCCCTTTAAGCTCTCTGGGCCTGTTTTCCTACCTGCAAAATGGAGATGATATGATGCCTGCCTCAAGGGGCAGGAGGACAGAAAGAGATGACAGCTGTAAGTCTCCCTCTGTCCCCTCCATCTTGCTCCCCCCACACTAGGGAAGGAGACACCCAGAAAGCCAGGCGGGGACAGGGCAGCTCACCTCACCACCGTTGGCGTACTCCATCACAAAGCACAGGCGGTCGTGGGTCTGGAAGGCATATTTCAGGGCCTGCAGGGAAGAAAGGCAGCGGGGGCACTGCTGACTCTGCCTAGACACTCCCTGCCCTGGCCCGGCCATGGGAATCGGGCAGCTGGGGTTCAAACCTCAGCTCTGCCTTTTGGTGTATGTGAGTGAGCTCGTGGCTCAGGGCTGGGAGAGAGTTAATATGCTGAGAAATCCTGTCCTGTGCTTTCCACTAAGCCTCCAAGAGGCACTGCCCCGGAGAGCAAGTTCTGAGCAACCAGAGCCTTTCACGTTTGTCTTCCTCTTCCTAGTTTATAGTCAAATGTGTTAATATCCCCCTCTCTCTCCCTCTCTCTCTCTCTCTCACTCACACACACACACACACACAATGGTTTGTTGACTGGGAGTTAAAGGTAGCTTGGGAGCTGACTCCAAAGATGATGGACAAGCCATCTGCCAACAGAGTAGTTCTCAAACTGTGCTCTAAGGAGCCTTACAGAGAGAGCCTCAGAGGACCCTTGGGTGACCCCTCTGCTCACGACAACGGTACTCTTCAACATCTTCTACATGGAAGTACCTCATAAAATTTCAATTGAACAAGTGCTGTGGCCTAACAGAACACCTGGACAGCAACTGAGCTGAAGACACGCCCTTAAGCCATCCTCAACCTGGTCTGTTTAACTGATGGCTGCTGGCCTTCATGGAGACTAGCCCAGAGATGTCTGCTCAGCATAAGCTGATAGGTAGCACAACGATACATCTGCTTCAAGGATTACATTTTGAAACAGAAACAAAAAAAATAATCCTTCCACTTCAACCAGCTGGGCTAAGCACCTCAAACTCATAAAGACAGCAGCCATGCTCTCCTGGGACCATCCTGTAATGTGATTTCATCAGTCAGCTGAGGCGCTGACATGAATCCACTGTCTATGAAGAAGCCGCCACCCCCAGGGTCTTGGTTCAGGCCATCTGGGGAGCCCAGCAACACCTGGCTCTAGCCACCTTGCCAACACTAGGTCTGTGCTTCACAGTGGCAGGGCTGGGCTTGTTCTCTGAGCTCTGTCCAAAGGGGCTGGCCTGGACGCTTCACACGGCATACAGGCCGGAGGGGAGTGCCACTCACAGTGAGGAATGGGTGCCTGGTGTTCTGAAGGACTCGGCTCTCGGTGACGGTGTGGGCAACTTCATCCTGCAGACAGAGGCCGGATGAGGGGCTGGTGGGCAACACCATGCCTGCCCACCACCTCCCAACCAGAGGGATGAGGGGCGATGTCTTGGTGAAATGTAATTCCATTCCTAGCCAATATGCAGAGAGAGAGCATGGGAGGAGCAGCACATTACCATCCACAAGCTCTAATGAAATAATGGACCGGGGCAAGGACATTCAGTGGCTCATTCTGAAACCCATGAGGTGAGAAGTCAATGGGGACTTTATGATGAAGGAATCAGGCTGTCACCTCCTGAAACCACAAGCCAATTTTAACATTCCTAAGGAGGGACAAGCAGACATTACGAGACCCCTGAGGTGACGCCACAGGCCGTGGAAATCACCACCTATAAATGTTCTTGCTGGAAGAAGGAACTGGATCTAGAATCAGGGCTCTAGGCTGTGGAGCAGCGGTTCTCAGTGTGTGGTCCCCACACAGGCAGCATCTGGGTCGTCTGGGAACTTGGAGAAATGCAAATTCTTAGTCCTTTCCCTGGACCCACCAGAAACTTGGAGGTGGGCCCAGCAGCAGTTTCACAGGCCTTCCCGGTGACTAACACGGGCTCGACTTTGGTATCTGAGTGCACAGCAGTCACCCAGAGAGCTGCTAACCATCCTACATTACCTGCAGACCCGGACACTGGCTCTCCCCCAAGGCCAGTGTGTCCCCAGGGCACATTTCACATTTGGTAGTAATGTCTAAAGACATTTTGATTGTCACAACTGCGGGGGCCAGCACAAGGGTGCTACTGGCTTCAGTGGGTTGAGGCCAGGGACACTGCTACACATCCTACAGTGCACTGGCCCAAAATGTCAACCGTGCTGAGGCTGAGAAACCCTGACTCAGGCCAATGACATCGGGGATAGTTCACTTTGTTGGGATACGATCATAGTACCATGATTATAGTCTTTAAAATCATCACCTGTTATACATATCTAAGTATGTATGGGTAAATTACACACTGTCTAAAACAGGCCTTAAGTATGTTTTCCAGAACAAAAAAGGCGGAAAGCAGAACTAATGAAATAGGATTGGCCAAATGTTGATAATTGTCGAAGATGGATGATGGCTACATGGGAGTCCATTATATTTATTTTTCTTTTGAAAATTCTGTGTATGTTAGGAATTTTCCATTTTAAAAACTTTAAATAAGGAGGAAAAAAAGGAAGAGAATTCCATTCCTGGCCCCGCCTCCTATTGAGACACCCTGAGCCAAACCCTGGCCTACTGAGAGGCCTCCTTTCAGGGCCTGACAGCGCCTGCCTGCTGGGGAGAGGCCCCAGTCAGATTCTCTCCACTTCCCCACCCCCCAGGCATCCAGAGGGTGGGTTGGGGGCTCAAGAGGTCAGCAGGTTCTCTCTGGGCCTCAGGCTCCCCTTCTCTGACTGGGAACTTACAGGACTAAGCCCAGGGGGACGGGTTTGGTGGGGAAATCAGATGCTGGCAGCAGAGGGCATTGGGTAGGTGTCCTGGCCCCGTGTGCTCCTCCCAGAGGCCAGCCAGTGGCAGCCTGGGGAGCACCCACCTTGGCGATGATAACCTCCTTCCGCAGGATCTTCATGGCGTAGTAGCGGCCAGTGGCCTTCTCCCGCACCAGGATCACTTTGCCAAAGGTGCCCTTGCCGAGGAGTTTGAGATAGTCGAAGTCATTCATAGTCTGCCAGGGATGGGGAGCAAGCAGGCCGTCAGCACTTGGCACATAGCCCGTGGAAGAAAATGTTCACAAAGAAAAAGGAAAATTAAAGGACACTGCTGCCAAAATGCTCGGGCACGAGCAGGAAGGGAGGCCCCGGGCAGCAACTGTTAGTTCTGAAGTGGCCTTCAGAACAAGGCTCTCCCAACACTTGGCTCCCAGGCATGGGGCCCTGGGAGGGCTCCAATGGGGAAGGAACAGGACTTGGTACCCCTTTAGGTAAGGCTGTCCTTCACCCTGTGGGCAGACAGCAGCCCTGGGGCATCTATACTCTGATATCAACCACTGTACAGGGCAGTCATGGGCAGGGCTGGGCCCCTACACACTCTGCATGGAAACCAGGGCCAGCGTTGAGTGTGGGGAGAGGTGCTCATAGACTGGCAGGCCCTACCCCCCGGCCACCTGTGCCCCCAAGCACTTACCACCTTGGCCCGGGCCTTGCTAACTGCCACTTCCATCTCCTCAGCTGCGGAAGAGTCACTAGGGGAGCCACACTTGTAGTCCATGGGGTCATCACCTGGGCCCCGCTGCTTGAGGCTGTTGGCGACCATCTGGATAGCCCGCATCCACTCCTCCCTGTGTGGGGACATGTCAGGGGAGCCATGAGTCCTGGGAAGCAGTCCTTGCGGCAGGAAGGCCTGAGCCCACCCTCTCTAATGGCAAATGACCAAATACCTTTGGGCATTTTGGTGAGATCTGTTTGAGCTGATCTGACGGGACCGGACTGAAATTTTACAGACCCTCTGGGTGGGACAGGGCAAGAGCAGAATAAGGACAGGGACTATCTATGTCCCAGGAGTGGCCTGGCCAGAGGGCCACTTGAAGTCAGGCAGCATTAAATGATCAAAGAGGGGCAACTACCTTTCTTCTCAGCTCCTTGAACACAAGCTGCCACCTTGAGCCTTGAATGATGAAGAGACAATGCTCCTCTGAATTCCTCCAGAATAAATGACACGCTCAAGTGTACAAGTGACTGATGTTTTGTAAAAGGAAACCAAGAGTAAAAGGAAGCATTCATTAGCCAGAGAAGCTGAAGATCTTCCAAGACAAGAGCCACCAACATGACTCTGGAGGGGGCTGTCTGCTGGAAGGATGGGTCAGGGCCACAGGCTCCTGGTGGGGCAGGGGCACAGAAGAAAAGGTAGCGGACAGGGAAGCAGGTCCCAGCAAAAGGGAGCCTGGTTTAAGAACAGTAAGCTAGTTCTGTCATTCATGATTCAGAACTCGCTTCTGATACTTGCAAACTGTTCTGTCTGGAAAAATTAGTAAAAGTGTCCAGAAACCAAGAAAAAAATATATACAGCTGAGGGCCGGCCGAGTGGCGCAATGGTTAAGAACTGGCTTGGGACGCCAGAGGGCCCCGGTTCGGATCCCACATATGAGGGCCAGTGACACTGCCCTCTA